ATCAAAGGGGATTCTTTGAGCAGAAAGGAAAGATCATAAGGGACTATGAAAAGTAAAAAACAAACAAACAAAAAAAGAACCCAACAAAAGTAGGAAAAATAAATATTTCTGTAAAAATCAGTCAAGGGATTCATAAAAGTAAAGGATTAAAATATGACACTGTATACCTAAAACATGAGGAGCAGAGGAACCAAGAATGGGTTTAAATTTAAGCAATCATCAACTTAAGGTAGACTGATATATACAGAAGATGTTATACACAAACTTAAAGGTATCCACAAATCAAAAACCAGTAATAAATATGCAAAGAATAAAGAGAAAAGAATCCAAGTATGTCACTAAAGAAAGCCAACATACCATGAAAGACAACAAGAGAAGGAGCAGAGAAAAACTATAGAAACCATCACAAAAAAAGTAACAAAATGACAACAAATACAAATCTATCAATAATTACGCTGAACGTAAATGGACTAAATGCTCCAAAACACACAGGGTGACACAGTGGATAAAAAACAAGATTCATCTACATGCTGCCTACAGGAGACTCATTTCACACCTAAAGACACCCGCAGATTGAAAGTGAGGGAATAGAGAAACATTCGTCATGAAAATGGATGTCGAAAGAAAGCCAGTGTAGCAATACTTTTAACACACAAAGTAGACTTTAAAACAAAGATTGTGGGGCACCTGGGTGGCTCAGTCAGTTAAGTGCCTGATTCAGCTCAGGTCATGATCTCACAGTTCATAAGTTTGAGCCTCGCATTAGGCTCTGTGCTGACACCTCAGGGCCTGGAGCTTGCCGATTCTGTGTTTCCCTCTTTCTCTACCCTTCTCCCACTCACACTCTGTCTCTCTCTTCTCTCAAAAATAAATAAACATTGGGGCACCTGGGTGGCTCAGTTGGTTAAGCATCCAACTTCGGCTCAGGTCATGATCTCACAGTTCATGGGTTCGAGCCCTGTGTCGGGCTCTGTGCTGACAGCTAGCTCAGAGCCTGGTGCCTGCTTCTGATTCTGTGTCTCCCTCTCTCTCTGGCCCTCCCCTGTTCACACTGTCTCTCTCAGAAATAAATAAAACATTAAAAAATTTTTTAAAAAATTAAAAAATAAAAATAAATAAAAGAAAGACTGTAATAAGAGACAAAGAGATATTATAATAAAAAATGGATGATCCAACCAGAGGATATAACAGTTGTAAATATTTATGCATGAAAACATGAGAGCACCAGAATACATAAAACAATTACTAACAAACATAAAGGAATTAATCTGTAGTAATATAATAATAGGAGAGTACTTTAACACCCCACTTCCTTTAATGGACAGATCATCCACATAGGAAACCAAGAAGGAAACAGTGGCTTGAATAACATATTGGACTAGAATTTAACAGACCTATTCAAAACATTCCAAAATAACAGCAAAATACACATTGTTTTCAAGTGCACACGAAACATTCTCCAGAACAGATGACATGTTAGGCCACAGAAAAAAATCTGTCAACCAATTCAAAAAAAATCAAACTTATATCATGTATCTTTTCTAAATGCAGTACTATTAAACTAGAAATCAACCACAAGAAAAAAATCTGGGAAGAGCATAAATACATGCTACTAAATAATGAATGGGTCAACCAAGAAACCAAAGAAATCAAAACTTAACATGTAAACAAATGAAAATGAAAACACAATAGTCCAAAATCTTTGGGATGCAGCAAAAGTGGTTCCAAGAAGGAAGTTTATAGCAATACAGGCCTACTTCAAGAAGAAAAATATCAAATAAACAATCTAATCTTACACCTAAAGTAGAAAAAGAAGAACAAACAAAACCCAAACTCAGCAAATGGAATGACATTATAAAGATTAGCGCAGATATAAGTGATAGAGAAACATATATATATTTAAAAAAAAAAAAAATCCATTAGAACATATCAGTGAAACCAGGAGCTGGTTCTTTGAAACTGTCAACAAAAGTGATGCAATTGTAGCCAAACTCATTAAAAAAGAGAGAGAATCCAAATAAAATCACTAATGAAAGAGGAGAAACAGTAATGACCACCACAGAAACACAAACAATTTTAACAGTATTATGAGAACCTATATGCTAAGAAATTGTGGACTTGGAAGAAATGGATAAATTCCTAGAAACATACAACATACCAAAAATAAAGCAGGAATAGAATATTTGAACAGACCAATTACCAACAATGAAATTAAATCAGTAATCAAAAAACTCCCAAGAAGCAAAAGTCCAGGACCAGATGGCTTCACAGGTGAATTTTACCAAACATTTAGAGAAGTTAATACCTATTCTCAAAGTATTCCAAAAAATACGGGAAAGGAAAACTTCCAAATTCATTCCATGAGGCCAGTATCACTTTGATAATACCAAAACCTGATAGACACTACACACACACACACACACACACAAAAAAAAAAAAAAAAAAGAGAGAGAGAGAGAGAGAAAGAGAGAGAGAACTATAGGCCAATATATCTTAGGAATATAAATGCAAAAATCCTCAATGAAATATAAGGAAACTAAATCCAATAACACATTAAAAACCCTCTGCAAAGTAGATCTACAGGGAACATACCTCAGATAATAAAGACCTTATATGAAAATCCACAGCCAACATCATATTCCATGGTGAAAAACTGAGAGCTTTTCATCTAAGGTCTGGAGCAAGACAAGGATGTCCACTCTCAACACTTTTATTCAATATAGTACTGAAAATCTGAACCACACCAATTGGACATGAAATAAAAGGCATCCAAATTGGTAAGGAAGAGGTAAAAGTCTTACTATTTGCAGATGACATGATACCATTTATAGAAAACTACAGAAAACTCTACCAAAAAACTACTAGAACTGATCAGTGAATTCAGTCACAGGATGCAAAGTCAATATACAGAAATCTGTTGCATTCCTATACAGTAATAATAAAGCAGCAGAAAGAGAAATTAAGAAAACAATCCCATTTACAACTGTGCCAAAAACAATAAAATATCTAGGAATAAACTTAACCAGAGGTGAAAGACCTGTATAATATGGATGAAAGAAATTTAAGATGAAGCAAAGAAATGGGAGAAATATTTTATGCTCATGGTTGGAAGAAAAAATATTGTTGGGGTGCCTGGGTGGCTCACTAGGTGAGTTCGAGCCTCACCTGAGGTTCTGTGCTGACAGCTCAGAGCCTGGAGCCTGCTTCAGATTCTGTGTCACCCTGCCCCTCCCTCACTCATGCTGTCTCTCTCTCTCTCTCAAAAATAAACAAACATTACAAACAAACAAACAAATACAATTAAATTGCCAAGAAGGGCAGGACATGTAAAATGGTCATCACATTGTTGACTCCCAAGACTGACTCACACCTGGGAAATGCCCAATCAATCCGGCATAATAAAGAATGTAGTATCAGGCAAACTATGAAACCATTAATAAGAATGTCAAATCCCTCAAAAATGACATAATATCACAACACTAAGAAAAGGAAAAGACACCATTTGTTTCCATATGTTTGGTATCTAAGAAACATTTCCAAAAAGGAAAAGAACTAAAAGACTGTCACAACAAAATACAAAAGTAATCCTTTCCAGGATAAGCTACTGTTGTGAATGACTGCATAATGTAATATACTGAAAGGTGATTTTCATGTTAGATTTCCAGATTCTGAATTCTCATAATTGAATTGTTTATAAAATGAATAACATCTTTTCGGGTCACAAGAAATAACAGGGTTTTTTTCAAAAACAAAACAAAACAAAACAAAACAAAAACAACTCTTGTCAATTTAGTTATGATGGATCCTATTTTTCTCAAAATTGATCCTTCAGCACGTTAGCTTATAAAAACAGGGTAACCTACGAAAAACAAACAACCCAGTGAAGAAATGGGCAGAAGATATGAACAGACACTTCTCCAAAGAGGACATCCAGATGGCCAACAAACACATGAAACGATGCTCAGCATCCCTCCTCATCAGGGAAATACAAATCAAAACCACACTGATACCACCTCACGCCAGTCAGAGTGGCTAAAATGAGCAAATCAGAGAACTCTAGATGCTGACGAGGATGTGGAGAAACGGGCACCCTCCTACACTGTTGGTGGGAATGTAAACTCGTACAGCCCCTCTGGAAAACAGTGTGGAGGTTCCTCAGGAAACTAACAATAGAACTCCCTTATGACCCAGCAATAGCACTGCTAGGAATTTACCCAAGGGATACAGAAATGCTGAGGCATAGGAGCACATGTACCCCA